CAGAGAATTCTGGTAATGTAAATATATATTTTTTTAATTGTACAAATTGTTTCTAAAAACGTATATTTAATATTCCATTATATATTTAGATTGTCACCATATATACTAAATGAAATATACTAATTTTCTCTCTTTAATAATGTATGTGTATTAGGGATGGGCGATTTGAAAATTTCACGGTTTCAAAACCAATAATATTTTCCGTCATACGATTCCTGCGGTATGTTCCTCAAAGACTGAAAGTGTAGGAATCCCTCACGACCCCTCCCCTGTAGAGAGTAACACGCCCCCTCCTCGGCTGTTTTTGTGTCTTTTTGCAACTTGTCTCTCTTCTGGACTTGCACAAAATGCGTTGCAATGCAATCATTTTCCAAAACGTAATTTATGTGAAAATATGAAGTCTCTAGGCTTGGGCGATAAAACGGTATCAATATTTATCGAGGGTACACCTTCTTCGATATCGATAGAAAAAATGATCTATGAAGTGCACGATATAGGCACGTGCTATGAGTGGTGTTATTCATTCAAAATATTACAGAAATATAGAAGCACAATGCGGAGAAGATCTTGAATGGGTTAAAGCCATTCACACAGAACGCATATTCAGTGCATTTTTAGACAGACAAATATGACTGCTGCACTTGCGTCTCACACAAGAGATGTATAGAAAGCCATGCAAAGTTAAAACAGTTTAAACTTGTTGATAATTTTTTTTGCTATATCGCCCAGCCCTAGTATCTTCTTTTCATCTCGTCTCTGTATCATTCACATTAAAGCAGTGTAGCAGCGCAGCCGTAGCAGTAACCAAGGAAACGCTGTATGTGCTGTACCATAAGCGCCTCCTGCTGTCAGAGAGTGAATCTGCATCTCATTCAGAGCTTCTGCTGGTTGTTTAGTTCAGGCATGTAGTATAATTTCACATTATTAAATCAAATTATGTATATGAAATGATATAAATAAATGACATGAAATATAAATGATATCTATATTATATAACTAAAATTAAATAACTGTAATTACAGATTTAGGTTATTTTCTTTTTCACATCAAAAGCTGCAAGACAGCCCACAATTCAGCAAAAATTTCAGAAACAAATCAAAGAAAAAATAAACAAATACTGCTGTTCCAAATATTCTGTATGTCGCTCAAAAATAAAATGTATTGTGTTCAGTGGAAATTTTTTTTTGTTTTTACCCAGACATTTAAAAATAACATATTTTAGAGCTGTAACAACAATACCGTGAAACCATGATATTTTTGCTTAAGGTTATCATACCGTCAAAATTTCATACCGGCCCATGCCTAATGTGTATGTATGTATGTATGTATTTATTTACTTAAAATCATACATTTTATGCTATTTTCATAACTAGTTTTTATGTATCATAAAAAATACATATCTTCTTAAATTTTCCTTTAACAATTTGACAGAAAATATGAAAAAAACAAAAACTAGAAATCCATACAAATCTATAGAAATCCATATAGATGCACCAAATATCGATCACTGTTTGAACCAGTGTTATTTTAATATCATTGAGATACTATTACAGTTTTTATTAATATTTCGATTTTTATATTTCCTGTTTGCATTTTATTTTATTTATTTTTTTGTGTGTGTGTTTAGTATTTATTTTATTTAAATTTTATTTCAGTTTTAGTTATTTGAGTACATCAAGTTAAACTGAATGAAAATGAGAAAATTAGTGTTGCCTTGACTACACCGGTAGCGGAAATTAAATAAGCTTATGGGTTTTTATATTTGATTTTAGCTCAGTTAAAGTATATTTTATTTCAATTAATTAAAGTTTTTTTTTGTTTTTTTTGTTAACTATAATAACCCTGGTCTTAGCAAACAGATCTGAATTCATAACCTGCAAAATTACAGTGATGATCGTCTGTCCTGAAGATCAGATTTGAAAAACATATAAAAGTGTGAACCTTACATTCTGATAAATAACATATTTTCACTGTTTGGCCAGCAAGGAAGAACACATCGGATGGTGCAGGTTGGTTATAATGAATATTTTTCTTACACCTCCAGGCCCACTGGGATGGTTTGACCGGACGGATAAATTTCAACAGGACCAATGGCCTGAGGACAGATTTCGATCTGGATGTGATCAGCCTGAAGGAAGAGGGGCTAGAGAAGGTGCTGAATTCCTCTGGTTTAATGTCCTTAGTTATGTACCCGCTGTCCTTCATAAGGACAAACGTGTGTACACTAGAAAATACACACACTCAGCCTGCCACTTAATAACAGACAATAACAATCCTTCCCACACACACACACACACACACACACACACACACATACACACACATATACAAAGAGAGCCTGTAAGCAAACCGTGACCTTCCGGTTCTCTTCCACATGTGTCTGCACCTTCATGAATAATTTATCCCATTAATAATAAGGCCCTCAGTAGCCCTTTAGCCTTAAGAAGACTGAATTAAACAGGTGATTTGCAATTACAAACTACAGGCCGTGTGTTTTCTGAAGTACTTTGTTTTCTGATGGCTGAACGTGCGTGAACGTCTGCACTTTGTCATCTTGTTTTGAGTTGTCAGTTCTCAAGAGGGTCCTCTGAAGTAAATGAGTTAGGAGGAATGGGACTGCAGTTCTCTGGTCCGCTGAAGCAATTCTCATTTACTCCCTCTCTCGTTTCCATCTCTCCATTTTGCTCTCTTGTGCATGATAACATGGTCTTCACATCACTTCCTTTAAGCCTCTGCGTAGATAATGTGTCCCAATGAGAACCCAGACAACTTTCACTGAAACTGTTTTATAGATTCTATGGCCCAAGAAAATAACTCATAGGATGAGGGAAAGTGCTCTGTATTGCGTTATTGAAGTATTCTTTTTGTATCATGTCATAGATTTATGAAAACATTAAGTGTTTTTTGCAGATTGGGACATGGGATCCTGCAAGTGGTTTGAACATGACGGAAAACCAGAAGGGAAAGGCAGCCAATGTGACGGATTCTCTCTCCAACAGATCGCTGGTGGTGTCCACTATACTGGTAAATAATAATAAAAACAAAATCATTATTTTCATTATTTCTATGCACTTTATTTCTTCTATTTTGCTTGCATAACATTTTAGTGATTGCACATAAGTGCATTTAAATATATATTAAAATGGAAAAAAAAATTCTTTATCAGTATTTTTGTGGTTTTCCAATCAGGATACATCGAGAAGCAAAACGACAGGAGATAAGAAGTCTGTGGAAATTATCAAAATGAAGTGAGTTTATGGTTAAAACAAGAACGAATCTGCCAATGAGGTCAGAAAAATAAACTTAATTCAAACAGAAAATAAGTTTTCATACCCCATTGACACATATTTGTTCATGATTTAAGCATAAACTCATTTAATTGTATTCAGTTTCGCATTTGTTCAATCTGCATCTCAAGTAAATGTATCTTGAAAATACTGAGAAAGATATTTATTCTTTGCAGTGCATGCAACATTTACTCCTTTATGAATGTAAGACTTTCTGCACCAATGTAAGATTTTCATACTTAACGAGCTTCGGCGACCGCAACGAGCACCAATTTGGTCACGATCCAGGGGTTTTGTCGCAGACTATGGAAATCTGTCTGCAACAGCAAAATCCAGCCAAAAATCCTGTAGTGTGAGCCCGGCTTTACACACCCGATTTAACTCGTCAGCTCATTAATAGAGACTTTAAGACTTGAAGTGGGTCAGAAAAGGTACAAAGATTTGAGAGAAAATATGATGTGTGTCAGATCCACGTCACGTTGAGCAGGGGCAGCTCTTAAAGAAATAGCAGCCAAAACAACCTAATAACCAGCTGCTGTGATGTCTATTAATCAAAGGA